GTATTCTGGATACTCCCAAATTCATAATGACTGTACCTGAATACAGTTACTCCAAATGAATATTCAGAACACGTGTTTTCAGCACACGGGCGACAGTAGCTCAGCTGGTAAGAGCGTTTGTCCACTGATCTGAAGGTTGGCGGTTTGAATCCTGCTCTCCACATAAAGACATCACTGGTTCAGCTGTTAGATCCATTGAACCACAGACTGGCAGTGTAACTCCAGTTCCCACAGATAAATGCTGCCATTGTGTCCTTGGGAAAGGCACTTAACCCACCTTGGCCCAAGTGTCTGTGACTGTGCCTTGAAGGTGGAAAAGTGAATGTGTGACAATTTAAATTTACTAAATGACCTGTATTCTGAAAACTACCAAATTCATAAGAAACTGTACCTGAATACAGCTGGTAAAAGCGTTTGTCCACTAATCCGAAGGTTAAAATCCCACTCTCAATATAAAAAAAAGTGGTTGAGCAGTCAGATCCACTGACCTACAGGTTGGTGGTGTGATTCCAGTTCCCACAGATGAATGCTGCTGTTGTGTCCTTGGGTAAGACACTTCACCCACCTTGGCCCAAATGTCTGTGACTGCGCCTTGACGGTGGAAAAGTGTATATAAATGTGACCATTTTCTAATTTGCTAATTTAATTAAATGACCTATATTCTGAAAATTACTAAATTTATAAGTAACTGTTTGTGTCCATGGGCACACACACAAGCACACATTCACAGTGTGTGTGTGTGTGTGTGTGTGTGAATGTGTGAGTGGTTCCTTATTGTAAAGTGCCTTGAAGGTGAAAAAGTGCTGTATAAAAATGTGACCATTTTCTTTTTAACTTTCTAAAGTATCTGTATTCTGAAAACTACCAAATTCAAAAGTAACTGTACTTGAATACCATTACTCAAAATGACAATTCAGAACACGTATTTTCAGTACATGGGCGACAGTAGCTCAGTTGGAATGATCTGAATTTTGGCGGTTCCAGCTCCCATGAAGATGATTGCAGCTGTTGTGTCCTCGGGCAAGACATTTCACCTACCTGGCCCTCAGTGTCTGTTTACACTTGAAAACTGTTGTATGAATGTGTGAGTGGATGGTTAATGTAAAGGCTCTGAGTGCCTGGGAGGTGTTTGTATAAAAGCTGTATTCAGTTACTTCCTAACACTGCCCAGAGCCTGGAAAACACAGCGTCTAAATGCGGATGGAGAATACACGCTGACACCAATGCATTGTCAATTCAAATTTACATCACATTTGAAAACAACCGAGTGCCGCACAGACAACAGACCATAGACATGTATACAGATAAAATAACAAAGCTCGTCTCTGCGTACGCTATCAATAATTGTAAACATTCCTCTTCATGGGCTTATTTAGACGCACAGTATGAGGTGAGTGGCGGCTTCACCGTTTCAAGAGACATGAGTCAGTAATGCAAATGCTCCCTCCTTGAGCTCCTCGCGGGTTTGAAGGAGCTGCAGCGCCTCACAGTGACCAAGACCAGTACAAATCAATCTGAGAGGAATTACACCTGCACAAAGAGCCTCGGTTACAAATGAAAACAGCCTGAGTCAGACGCTTATAAAGTGGATTTGTTAATAGATGTACTGAACTGAAATATAAATAAATAAACAGACAAGATCTAGGTTTTCATGATACTTAAAATTTCAAACTTTGGCACATCATTTTTTATTGGAATTTAAAGGGTCCATATTAAGTATAGTCCATATTAGGACTATACTGATCCATGTTATAATGTTGTGTTCTCATCAAAAATATATGTGAGCAGTGTTGGGGAGTAACAGATTACATGTACCGGAGTTACGTAATCAGAGTACAAATTATGAGTAACTGTATTCAGTTGCAGTTACTGTTTCAGTGAGTGGTAATTGGATTACATTTACTTTGTTGAAATAAATGGATTACACAGAGGTATTTTCCTGTTTTCCAATTTGGGCTAAACCAGGACTAAAACCAGGACTAAACCAGGACTAAACCAGGTCTAAACCAGGACTAAACTCGGACTAAACCAGGACTAAACCCAGGACTAAACCAGGTCTAAAACAGGACTAAAACCAGGTCTAAAGCAGGTCTAAAGCAGGTCTAAAACCAGATCTAAACTAGGACTAAACCAGGACTAAACCAGGTCTAAACCCAGGACTAAACCAGGACTAAACCAGGACTAAACCAGGACTAAACTCGGACTAAACCAGGACTAAACCCAGGACTAAACCAGGTCTAAAACCAGGACTAAAACCAGGTCTAAAGCAGGTCTAAAACCAGATCTAAACTAGGACTAAACCAGGACTAAACCAGGTCTAAACCCAGGACTAAACTAGGACTAAAACCAGGACTAAAACCAGGTCTAAAGCAGGTCTAAAACCAGATCTAAACTAGGACTAAACCAGGTCTAAACCCAGGACTAAACTAGGACTAAACCAGGACTAAACCAGGAATAAAACCAAGTCTAAACCCAGGATAAAACCAGGTCTAAACCCAGGACTAAACTAGGACTAAACCAGGTCTAAACAATATGACACCTAACAGTAGGTGGACATGATTTAAAGCAGCAGTGATCTCATATAGAAATAATTTCTCTATCAATAATATTTTTAATATGTTTAAGTAAAGACTGGACTTTTTATTTTCTTTTAGCAGACAAAACCTCTTATGTTACGATTCTAGTCTTTGTTTCTCTACAGTAAAACAAAAGTCTGGTCATGGAGACTTGGGCTCAACAGACAATTTGAAGAGAACAAACATGAATTTTCAGGATGTGGTTGTTACATTCATGTAGTTTTAAAAAGCATGACAATATCAAGTAATCAAAAGTATTCAGATTACATTACTCACGTTAAGTAATTGAATGGATTCCGTTATAAACTACATTTTGGCGTATGTAATCTGTAATCTGTAGGGGAATACATTTTAAAAGTCACCTTCCCAACACTGTATGTGAGGTTGTATTTTGTTTCATTCACACACATTTAACACACAAATCCTGCATGTTTAGGCTGAGTTCTTCTCTCAAACAGAAAACACTCTGTTCCACCTTGTGATGTCATGAAGTGGTAATACAGAAGTGCTTGACTGTGTTTTTAAACTCCATACACCTTCACTAGAATCATTTGGACAATTTCAGATCTGGAATGGCCGATCTCTACTGAACTAAAGGGAAAAGGAGCTGTTAAACTTGAAACTACAACTACATGACATCACAAGGTGGAAAAGAGCATTTTGAGCTTTGGAGATGTAGACAGACTAAAAATAAAGAGTTACTCAAACGTGTGTGGAACAAAACACAACTCCAGTTATGAGGAAAACTTTCTAACATGGCTTTAAACTCACAAGACTCAACTTTGCGTAATATAGAACCTCTAAATAGTTGTCTACTGGATTAGAAGTCGCACCAGCCAAAAAATGCATAATGAAGAAGAAAAAAACATATAAGTCACACTTTTTGGGGGAAATTTATTTTATAAAATCAGAGAGCAGGAACCGATATTTCCTGTGTAAAGTCAAGTTGTAGTAATAACAATAGAAGAGAGAACAACAGACTGTTAACGTCACATATGAACAGTTCTTCAGATAAACTATAACATAAACAATAGAACAAGTTTAACCAAACTCTCCATCTCACTCCAAATCACTAAATCCATTCAATTCTTCATCCTCGGTGTCACTTCTGAACAGAGCGCCGCTTCCTCTTCTGTGTCGCTGTCGTCAGACTCAGCATCAGTTCCAGTTAGAATTATTCGGGCCTTTCTGATTCCCGACAGGATGGTTTTGGTGTCACTGAAGTCCAGGCTTTGTCCATCCATCCAGTGACTTCAGGGAAGTTTCATGGTGCATCTTCCAAATCTCACAAGTTTCTCTCTCACTCCAAACTTTCTTTCTGCTGCTCGAAGTGTTGGGAAGGTGACTTTTAAAATGTATTCCCCTACAGATTACAGATTACATACCCCAAAATGTAGTTTGTAACGTACTCCATTAAATTACTTAAAGTGAGTAACGTAATCTGAATACTTTGGATTACTTGATTTGCTGTAGAGAAGCAAAGACTCGGATATCTTCACATAAGAAGTTTTGTCTGCTAAAAGAAAATGAAAAGCCCAGACTTTACTGAACCAAATTAAAAATATTATTGATAGAAGAGAAGGAGACACGTGCACGCAGCATGATTTAGTCCTGTTAACTCCTGTTTTAGACCTGGTTTAGACCTGATTTAGACCAGGTTTAGAACTGGTTTAGACCTGGTTTTAGTCCTGCTTTAGTCCTGTTAAATCCTGTTTTAGACCTGGTTTAGTCCTGGTTTTAGCCCTGGTTTAATGTCTGGCAATGCGTGGAATATACCAAAAAAAAAAAAAAAAAAAAAAAAGGGAATAGCCCAAAATGTGAAAACAGGAAAATACCGCCGTGTAATCCATTTATTTCAACAAAGTAACTGTAATCCAATTACCACTCACTGAAACAGTAACTGTAACTGAATACAGTTACTCATAATTTGTACTCTGATTACGTAACTCCAGTACATGTAATCTGTTACTCCCCAACACTGTCTGCTCGATTACCGTTTTCAAATGCAGATTTCATGACTTGCAGTTTGTAATATGCAAAATCAGATTTTATTTTTGGGGCATTTGTGTTCAGTCTTCTCAGTCGTCTTTATAAGTTTGTTTAAATTGGTTCAGAAGTAATGGTGTGATCGACTGACATGATACAGACAGGACAGAGGCTCTTTCTGCAGGAGACATGTGCAGTAGAGTGAAGTGACAGTGGTGCAGGAGGAACAGGAGCAGCAGATACTGACACTCTGCATAGAGCCTCTCCTGGGTGTCAGTGTGAACATTTTAATATATAAGTCGCAGGAAACACCCAAACCATGAAAAACATACGATTTATAGTCTGAAAAATACAATATGTCTTCCAAACACTTTAAACGCAGCATTTTCCTGAGCACTTTTACTCACTTTTACTGCCTTTCTCTTTCTCTGTGTTCAGGTGTAAAGTTCCAGAGACACACCATCCGCATGGTGATCAGCGGCATCTGGCTGTACGCAGGTCTGTGGGCAGTGCTCCCCCTGGTGGGCTGGGGCAGTTACGGTCCGGAGCCGTTCGGACTGGCCTGCTCCGTGGACTGGACCGGCTACGGAGAATCGCTGAACCACTCCACCTTCATCCTGGTGCTTTCCGTCCTCTGCACCTTCCTCCCCTGCCTCCTCATCCTCTTCACGTACTTCGGCATTGCATGGAAGCTGCACAGGGCCTACCAGTCCATCCAGACACAAGACTTCCAGTACGGCAACATCGAGAAGAAAATCACTCTTGTAAGTATTTTAGTAAAGGTCCTGTATTGCACAAAACTGACTCTCGTGAGCTTTAATCCTCAAAAACAGACCTGGAGTTGTGTTTTGTTTCATTCACACAAGTCTAACACACAAACCCTGCAGATTTAGAGAGAGTTCTTCTCTCAAACTGAAAACACTCTGCTCCACCTTGTGATGTCATTTGGCAATACATAGGGTGACCAAACTTCCGTTTTTCCCTGGACATGTCCGTGTTTTGCGTCCTGTCCTGGGCATCCGGGTTTTTTTTTTTGTAAAGTGATGCAAATGTCCGGGTTTTCAGTACCGTTCATTAAACTGAGCGTCTCTCGTAGTGTCTGTGACTCCGAAGGAGCGAGACACAAACAGTTGGTCAGCCTGCAAGATACCGAAATGCAAAAGCGCATTTAACAATGACTTGTACAAGAAATTCTCCGTTTTCCATCCCTGTCGGGACAAGTGGGAGGTCATGTGCACAGGTTGTAGAGTACAGTGAGAGTACAGTGGTCCCTCGTTTATCGCGGGGGTTACGTTCTAAAAATAACAGGCGATAGGTGAAATCCACGAAGTAGTCAACTCAACTTTATATTTTATAAATATTATATCTGTTTTAAGTCTGTAAAACCCCTCAGCAAAAACTTTATACACTTTTCTCACACAGGACAGGTGCAACCCTCGTTACATCCTTCTTAAAACTTATTTCTGCTGTCGTTCTTTTGTTATTTTCCTCCTCCTTTATGTAATGAACTGAAGATTCATTTATTCCGTAATGGACCCAACAGCGCAGAGTCCTGCAAGGGTCCATTTTTGGAGACACCCAGCACAATACTGCACCTGCCCGTTAACCCGAGATTATATCAAACTTTTGCGCTGCCTACACCATGGACTGAACCAAGACTAAACCAGGACTAACCCAGGACTGATTCCAAGACTGAAGAGGAGGACTAATCCATGACTGAAATAGGACTAAAACAGGACTAAACCAGGACTAAACCTGAACTGAAACAGGACTCACCGTCGGGACGGGCTTGGAGGTGACGCAGGAGAAAGGACTGACTCAGCTCCGCACCTCACGGAGGTAAACGCGGCAATTTCCCGATCTCGATTTGCGGCCAAACTGCTCGGCGTTCTCTCTCTTAAGTCCAAGATTAGTCCTGGTTTAGACCTGGTTTACTCCTGACTTATCCGTATGTAATTACTACCCGCCTGTAATACACAATACGCTCTCATACGCTGTAAAAAAAAAAAAAATCTGCAAAAAGGTGAGCCCCCCGCAAGGTGTCCGGGTTTTCACAAATGGAAATAAGGTCACCCTAGCAATACAGGAAGTGCTTTACTTTACTGTGCTTTACAAAAGCAAAACGCAAACATTGTTTGGTCCAAAATGAATTCAAGTCATTTTATTTGTATTTAAGAGCTCCTTTATCATGTGAATAAATATAGTGAAAAATATTGAGCTCAAAATTGACCTTTGACCCTTTTATTTGTCAGTTCCTGTTCTCTGTCTTTGTTTCATGAGCCAAATATAATGAGTTGTGCAAATACAAAAGGCAGAAACTGTGTATGTTTTGTTTGTGATTTAGTTCATAAATATATTTTATTTTCAGATTCAACCTCTCACCTCTTTCTTTTTGCTTTGGCCAAGGTCACATTTTTCTTTTTTCCACCTTCAAGGCACTCAAAGCACTTTACAACAAGGAACCACACACACACACACACACACACACACACACACACACACACACACACACACACACACACACACACACACACACACACACACACACACACACAGGCACACACACACACACACACACACACATCAACACAACACACACAAGGCACTCAAAGCACTTTACAACAAGGAACCACACACACACACACACACACACACAGGCACACAACAAAGGCACTCAAAGCACTTTTACAACAAGGAACCAAGGAACCACACACANATGACAGAAGCCCCACAGCCTCTCTCCCCCGGCCACCCCCACCCCCCCACACCACCACACCACCACCACATCCACAAACCCACAGTGGAGCGCACCGCCACATCGGTCCCACTGCTCAATAGACACTTCATGCCGCTGGACGGACCCTCACGGTCAAGAGCACCAGCTCTGCTACACAACAGCACTGTTTGTTTTGTTTGCAACAAATAGCACCGTGCAATGACGCCATCGGGCCACAGAACCACAGGTAACAGCGCCCGAGTACAGCATGGCCCAAAAGTCCCAGCATAAGTACAACAGTTGTGCTGACTGGACGTCCCTGAGCAAATCCCGTGTCTCAGAAAAACTCTTGTGTGCTGTGTGTCCTGTGTGTTATATACGTATATTATTTATCCAATACCTGATCGGAACATAACGTCTGAGTCCGGATGGAGTCCGCAGTCACATGATCGACGCCGATTTCCGATCACGTGATCGGATCGGGACAACCCTAGTCTTAACACATTCAATAAATATACCTTTGTGTTCAATTCTACTTCAATGATCTTTAATATGAAAGTATTTCTTCATACTGTACACATTAAACTGCAAAGTCACTCGTGTCAAACTGTTTCACTGTGGAAGTGTCGCCGCAAGATCCTGATCAGCACTAAACAGGAAATCCAAAACTCTTCTACATCATTTCAAACAAACACATGATGACTGGAGCTTGGTGATGTGTGTGTTTATATATATATATATATATATATATATATATATATATATATATATATATATATATATATATATATATAAGATGAAAGCCTGGGCAAAATCAAACAAATAATAATGATCATGCCGGTTTCTGCCTTTTGTCTTTGCACAACTCCTTTGTTTTGGCTCATGATACAAAGGCAGAGAACAGGAACTGACAAATAAGGTCAAAGGTCAATTTTGAGCTTAACATTTTTCACATACAAATATTTATTCATTATAGCAATTAGGCGTCAAATTTTGGGAGTCCTGCCTATTATACTTTTATCTGGACAAAACTGAAACTTTGAACTCATTTTTCTCCCTTTGGTAAGTTCAGCTCTTTTGCCTTTGCAGGGCAGTACAGCTCGTGACATCACAAGGTGGAACAGAAAGACGTGTGAATGAAACAAACACAACTCCAGGTCTATTTTTGAGGAGGTTACAACATTATGACATGGCTCAAAGCTCACAAGAGTCCATTTTGTGTAATATAGGACCTTTAACCTCACACTGACTTAAAATTAACGACCTGAAAACACATCTCTATGACAGTAAAAAGGAATTTTCAGCAGCCTCAATAACAAATACTCCCTCAGGTTTGCACAAAGAGAGGCATGAAAACAACACAATGTAAGTTATGTAAAAAAAAGGTCAGATATACAGTTCTTTAACTTGTTTATTGCAAACTTGTGAGCAGATGGTTTCTATTGAAGGTCATATATTACACAAAACTGACTCTTGTGAGCTTTTATCTATGTTATAATGTTGTTACCTCCTCAAAAACATACAGTAGCTGGAGTTGTGTTTTGTTTCATTCACATGTTTGAATACCGTATTTTCTGGGCTATTAGGCGCTCTGGATTATAAGTCGCACTGTCATTAAATGGTCTATTTTTGAACTTTTTTCACAAATAAACCGCACAGGACTTTAAATGAAACCCAACAGTTGGATGGGTGAGTGGTTTTGTTTGTTTGTTCGTTCACGGTGACTCTGGGCTTTGTTCAGTTGTGGCGTGTAGGGAGGGTGCTTGTCTGGGACCAACGGATTGTCGGCGTGTTCGCAGTGACTCAGTTGTTCAGTTGTGTCTAGAAGTGGCACATTGCACTCGCTTTTTCGGTTCGTTCCTCCGTTCCGTTCCTCGTCGGCGTGGAGTGATGAGTGTTAGTGATGGGCGAATGGACACCTCAGTCACAAAATTGTCTCAAATGGTTCGACGTGTCTGAGGCCTTGGAGAAACACTGACCTCTAGTGGACAAATTTAACCATTGGCACGTATTTGTCTCAGCATCGATGAAGTATTGTTAGTGTAAGACAATAGTTGTGTGCAGAGCGACACCGTACCAACAACAACAATAATCATGATGATTTAAAATAATATGTAAAGATCAACATAAATAACAGCTGTAAATAAGAAAAGAGGTGTTACCTTGTTATGTGGAATTAGATCAAAGTGATCCCAAACCATGGATCACTTTTTTCCACTTGTAGATGCCATCGAAAATGAAACAAATGCCAAAAGTCCCCAAAAGTCACCACTAACGTCATACAATACTCCTCACTACCCAACATTTTTAAGAAATATTGGTGCATCTTTTATACTGTAGCATCGTTGTCTGCTCCGTGTGTGTTTGCGTGCGCTGTGGGTGGTGTGGCTTTGTAGTTTACTGAAGTCGTGCTGGGACACCCGAGTGGATTCGTGTAAAGGGTGCTCTGGATTGTGGGGCGCGTGGCCATTTTTTGATGGGGTTAGAGGCTTAAGAGAGCATCTAATAGCCCGAAAAATATGGTAATCCTGGTTTATAAGTCTGTCTACATCTCCAAACCTCAAAATGCTCTGCTCCACTTTGTGTTAACAGGAACATTTTGTCTTTAGTTCTGTAGAGATTTGACATTTCAGAGCTGAAATTATCCAAATGATTCGAATGAAAGTGTGTGTAGAGTTTAAAAACACAGTGGAGCACTTCCTGTATTAGCACATGACATCAAAAAGTGGAACAGTATTTTCTGTTTGGGAGAAGAACTCAGCCTAAATATGCAAAGTTTGTGTGTTAAACATGTGAATGAAACAAAACACAACTTTTTATTTTATTTTATTTTTTTTTTTTATGTGGAAACTGCTTTTCTCCGTGAAAATGTTATTGCTTTGTCTGGAATGTTCCACAGTATGGCATTAAACCTTTCTATCTTCATGGAGACCAAACCAGACTAAGTTACAGGTCAGATCTGCACACAGTCACAGTCAGAATGTCTGTTTTTCCAGGTATTTTTGAGCCGTAAAACCACCTGTAATTGCGTAAATATAAAGTAGAGCA